GAAGTCTATCCCGCCTTCTTTCAACACCCTCCTTCTGATTCTGTTTTTGGCTCTGCTCCAAAACCTCGAAACTACGGATCGCTCATGAGGTCATAGATTTGCTAGAAGTTGCACACATACAACCCCACACCACCCTGAATCCCCTTCTATGGGAAACACTGTGCTGCTTATACCAACATCTCAATTTTCCCTGCCTACATTTTCTCATCTATTAGAAATAATACACTTGCTCAGTTGACTTACCTAATTTAGGTAAATTTATGGCTATGAACTTATTTTTAAAGAAACCTACAATTTCAGTGTAATGATTAACAGAATCTGTTCCCATAGAGGTTGCCCTGGTACCATAGTTAACTTAAACCAGAAACAATTCATGCACAGTACATTAAAATCCTGATTATGTGTCGGAAATAGGTAGGAGTTTGAACCAAATGCTTGGTGATCATAAGAAAACCTTGAAACCCAACAAAGGATCATTCAAATACATTGTGGCTAATGATGTGGAGGATAATAACTACCTAGCCAACCTTAAAATCCATTTGTCTAAGTTTTTATTCATTCACCAAACTCATGACTAATATCTAAAACCCAGGGCGTTCCAAAGGGTACTTACAAGAAGATTGCCATCTGAAGCCATGTATGATTCCAAATTGGCAGAAACAAAAGCTAGAAGAGAAGAGAGATTTCAGATAAATGGGGGGTTGAAATGCCCATAAAAACGTGGGGGCAGGGGCGGTAGGCATTTCTATTTCAATTGACAAATTTCACAATAAAAGCAACTCATTAAATGGCCTTTTAAGCACAACTTAATAAACCAACTGTTTAAAAGTGAGTTTATAGAATAAGTCAGAATTTCATCTGCACATTTGTCAGTACTCTTTCAAGTCTTGTATTACTTGTGTACTTATTATTGTATTATTTATAAACATATCTCTTTGGAAAGTAAAAAAAAAATGTTTTCCTCTTCATGATGAACAACGCAATGTAAGATGTGGAACTATTGGATCCACTACTGTTACTCTGGTGGTATCAACTAAACAATTTCGAAAACACAACTCCTCCCCTGCCTCTGAAGTCCCAACTTTCATATGGAGACAAGCCACTTTTGATGTATTTATTACACTTTGTAGTGGATTACCTGAAAAAACAAGACATTCTGTGGTTTCAAGAAAAGCAGGTGAAAACAAAAAGAAAAAAGATGTCTTATTTTCAGATTTTGACAAGCAAGAAACCTGTTAAACATCCACAAGCCACTGAAACTTACCCCAAAGCAGAAAGCTTTTCAGTTTCTTCCTAGTGACACCACAAATACGGATCTACAGCCCCTGGGACTTGATTTCTTATACAAGTGGTTCCCAACTTTTGAAGAAAGAATACCCCTTTTTTAATGTCAAAAATGCCATATTCATACTACATAAACCTGGATAAAACATTTATTTGTAAAATTCCAAAGAGAAAACTCATAGGAGGAGATAAAAGAAAAAGAAATAAATTATCTGTAATTCTTCCTCTAAGCATTGCGATTTGTTGACATTACACAGCTTTGGTCATTGATATTAAGCCGGGGTCCTCAAACTACGGCCCGCGGGCCACATGTAAATACAAATATTGTATTTGTTCCCGTTTTGTTTTTTTACTTCAAAATAAGATGTGTGCAGTGTGCATAGGAATTTATTCATAGTTTTTTTTAAACTATAGTCCGGCCCTCCAACAGTCTGAGGGACAGTGAACTGACCCCCTGTTTAGAAAGTTTGAGGACCCTGAATTAAGCTTCTGTTGGATCTTGAGTAATATTTCTCTTGTACATATTGTATCTTTTTACCTCCTAACTATCACTTTAGTGTGTCCACTCTGTCTATATCCATTGTTACCACCCTAGTCCAAGGCACCAGCACCTCTCGCGTGGGCCACTCCATGAACATCCTGAGTCCCAGCTTTCTCTCTTGCCCAGAATGATGTTTTCTCAATGCACATGACTATTCATCTCTATCTTTAAATCTCTACAATGGCCATTGAGTCTTGAGATAAAGAACAAAACCAGGAAAATCTCCTACAAGGAAAGGTTTGTCTTACCTGGCTTCTGTCTCCTCTCCAGCCCCATCTTGGATCATTTCCATGTCTTTCTTTCCATTTCCCTGACTTACTGGCTTTTTAAAAAAAATTCCTTAAACCAGTTTTTACTAATCTCAGAAACTTTGTGCATGCTCTCCTTCAATAGACCTCTCCCAAGAAGGCTTATACCATCTGCACTTTCAGCCCTCGGGCCAAATGTCATTTAGTCAAGAAAGCGTTCCCTGATCTTATGGGCATCGCTCCCTTTTAGATGCGCTCTTAGCACCTTATCTTCATTCATAGACATTCTCATAATTGTATTCACTTATTAATTTTGCAATTGATTGCTTAACTTCTGACTCCCCACCATAGTATAACTTTTTTTTAAAAAGTAATAGGACATACCAAATCTTTGTGATGTTTTTATTACATAGGTTATATTTAAAAAGAAATCTAAATTTTATTACTATCAAGATTTATAATATGCCAGAAATAACATCTCTCCCAATTATTTAAACATATGACAAAAAATCTAGATGACAATTTAAAGTATAAATGGGCACATAGAGTTTCCAAATTATTTTATGGATACACAACCAAAAATAATATTTTAAAACTGCTGTACACACAGACCTGTCAAGCAGATTTCACTCTGCCACTTGTTAAATATGGAAACTTATGAAAATTACTTAATTTCTCTGAACAGCAGCTGCCTCATCTGTTAAACAGAAATAATAATAAGTCCTAGGATTTTTTGTGAAAATTAAATGAAATATCATATGGGAAACATGTAGGGCACAATGCAAGCTCCGTATGTGGTAGCAATTACCTTCAATGGGAGCAATTACTTAGTAATAGCTTCGTTATAGAAAACTGTTTTTCCTAATGGAATTAGCACACAACTAAAGGGTTTGAGCTAATGTGATAACAAGTTTCATCAAATAAAATAGCTCCCGCACTTCAAGGTTGATTTAACTCCCTCACTACTCCCCCAGAAACATTTCTGATGCCTTGTTTAAGAATTTAAGAGAATAGTTTTCTCTGTCCTATTCGAGACAGCTACCTCTGTCAAGGACAATTTAACAGACCACAACATGAGACTTCGCCCAAACAACAAGGTCATTAATTTTTTTAAAAGTCGTGCTATAAAATAAAATGGATTCTGATAAACTCTGTAACTGAAAAAATGGAAAACCCATTTCATCATTAAAGGAATTATAGCCCTGTCTGGTGTGGATCAGTGGTTAGAGTGTCAGCCCGCACACCAAAGGGTCTCAGGTTTGATTTCCCCTCAAGGGTAAGCACCTGGGTTGCAGCTTCAATCCCAGGCCCCAGGCCGGGCACGTGCCAGAGGCAACCAATAGATGTGTCTCTTTTACATCCATGTTTCTCTCTTTCTCTCATCTTCCCGCCTCCTTCCCACTCTTGTTAAAAAGCAAAGGAAAAAAATATGCTTGAGTAAGAATTAACAAAAATTAAAATTTTAGTTTAGAAAAATGAATTATAAAGTTAATTTCAAAAAACAAGAAAGATTTTCCTTCATATATATTGGTTGTTAAGGACTAAATATATGTGTCTCCTCCTCACCCCCCCCAAAAGTTCATATGTTGAAGTCAAATCCCCAATGTGATAGTATTTGGAGGTTGGGCTTTCGGGGGGGTGGGGGGAATCAGGTCATGAGGGTGGAGCCCTCCTAAATGGGATTAGTGCCCTCAGAAGAAGAGGGCAGAGGCTAGCACAGTCTCTTCTCCAGATGAAGACACACTGAGCAGACAGCAGTCTGCAACCCAGGAGAAGGCTCTCACCAGAACTGACTGCACTGGCACCAGGATGTCGTACTTCCAGCCTCCAGACGGCAAGAAATAAGTGTCTATCATTGAGCAGTCACTGTTGTGGTATTTTATTATCGCATCCCAAACTGACTATGTGAAGAAGCATTCCATTCTGTTTTAGGCACAAACAAAATGCAAGTTTATTCCTGTCAGCTAAGTCAGAGATATGGACTCTGGTCCTATATAATTGGAAAACGAGAAAATAAACCAAGATTATCGATGTGCAACAAATGCTCTATTGATAAAGAAGGTGGTTGCTAGATTAGTAATGTTTGAGAACTAAAAAAAAATTCCCTAAAGGGAGTTATGAGGTCAACTAATCCCAAAGTAGCTGCCTTGATTGTTCCCCAATAGACATTATAATTTCGAAAGCGATGCAGGAAAATGAGCATGATGGCTAACATTTTCACAGTTTTTTTAAAAGAAGATAATTTATTGTAAAATAGATCATTTTCCCCATTTAAATAAACTGTGGGCTAGGTTTATTCTCTTTTTTTTTTTTACAGAGCTTTAATAGAAAAGAACATAACTCTGAACTAAAATGTTAATTAAAAAAAAAACCACAGAGTAATTCATAACATATGTGTCCTTTAAAAGTATAATGCTAGCATTTCTCAAGACTTGTTTTGTTTTTGTTAATCCTCACCCAAGGATATTTTTTTCCATTACTTTTCAGACAGAGTGGAAAGGAGGTAAGGAGCGGGAGAGAGAGAGAGAGAGAGAGAGAGAGAGAGAGAGAGAGAGAGAGAGAGAGAGAAACATGTATGTGAGACAGACACA